ATCTAACTTGCCAAAAAACGCTAACCAGAAAAAATAATTCAAACCATTTTAACTCTGCCCTGGGAGTTGGAAGAAGAATTATGACGTCTCGTGATGAAAGCCGAGTCCCCTCGGAAGTCACGGGGCCGATGCCTCTTCTGACAACCAGAGCAACCATTTTTTTTAGGTACATGGAACGTTCGTACATTGTGGGAGACTGGAAGACTATTTCAAGTTGCGGCAGAAATGAAAAGATACAACCTCGAGGTGCTCGGCATCAGTGAAACACATTGGACACAGGTAGGACAACTGAGACTAGCTTCAGGGGAACTGCTGTTATACTCTGGTCATGAAGAGGAAAACGCTTCACATACACAAGGAGTTGCACTGATGCTGTCCAAACATGCACAAAAGGCACTGATAGGATGGGAATCTCATGGACCCAGGATCATTAAAGCATCCTTCAAAACAAAGAAAGAGGACATTACAATGAACGTCATCCAATGTTATGCACCTACCAATGACTACAATGACGACGTTAAAGATAAATTCTACGAAAGGCTGCAGTCAGTCGTCGATAAATGTTCACCAAAGGATTTGACGATTCTTATGGGAGACCTGAATGCCAAGGTTGGAATGGACAACACTGGATATGAAGACATCATGGGACGACATGGACTGGGAGAAAGGAACGAAAACGGTGAGAGATTTGCAAACCTATGTGCCTTCAACAAACTGGTCATCGGTGGCACAATATTCCCGCACAAACGCATTCACAAAGCCACATGGATTTCACCGGACCACACTACTCAAAACCAAATTGACCATATCTGTATCAACAAAAAGTTCAGAAGGACCATGGAGGATGTGAGAACCAAGAGAGGAGCTGATATAGCTTCAGATCACCACTTGCTGATCGCCAAAATGAGATTGAAGCTAAAGAAGCACTGGACAGCGGGGCAGACAACATCACAGAAGTTTAATACGGCCTTTCTTCGGGATACCGTAAAACTCAACGGATTCAAGATAGCCCTCACCAATAGGTTCCAGGCCTTTCAGGATCTACTCAATGGAGAGGAAGCAACATTGGAGAACAATTGGAAAGGGATTAAGGAGGCAATCACTTCAACATGTCAGGAGGTCCTTGGTCGCAAGAAGCACCATCACAAGGAATGGATCTCTGTTGGTACTCTTGAAAAAATTCAAGAAAGGAGGAACAAGAAGGCAGCTATCAATGTCTGCCGAACAAGAGCAGAGAAAGTTAAGGCGCAAGCCGAGTATACAGAAACAAACAGGGAAGTGAAGAAGAGCATCAGAGCTGACAAACGAAAATATGTGGATTATCTAGCACTGACGGCGGAAAAGGCTGCAAGAGAAGGAAACTTGAGACAATTGTACGAAACTACAAAGAAGCTCGCCGGAAACTATCGTAAACCAGAACGACCAGTGAAAAGCAAGGAAGGGAAAATAATCAGCAACACTGACGAACAGCAAAATAGGTGGGTGGAGCACTTTAAGGAACTATTGAATCGACCAGCTCCACTGAACCCACCCAACATCGAAGCAGCATCCACGGACCTCCCAATTAATATTGGCGCACCTACGATTGAGGAGATCAGTATAGCCATCAGACAAATCAAGAGCGGCAAAGCAGCAGGACCAGACAACATTCCAGCAGAGGCAATGAAAGCAGATGTGGAAGCAACTGCGAAAATATTTCACATGCTCTTCAAGAAGATTTGGGATGAAGAACAATTACCATCAGATTGGAAAGAAGGATACCTCATCAAAATACCAAAGAAAGGCGATCTCAGCAAGTGTGAGAACTACAGAGGCATCACTCTTCTTTCAATACCAGGCAAAGTCTTCAACAGCGTATTGTTAAACAGAATGAAGGACTTCGTAGACGCCCAACTTCGAGATCAACAGGCTGGATTTCGTAAGGATCGATCGTGTACTGACCAAATTGCAACATTACTGATCATTGTGGAACAATCAATTGAATGGAACTCACCACTCTACATCAACTTCATTGACTACGAGAAAGCATTCGATAGCGTGGATAGGAAAACACTGTGGAGGCTTCTTCGACACTACGGTGTGCCTGAGAAAATAGTCAACATCATACGGAATTCTTATGATGGATTAAACTGCAAAATCGTACACGGAGGTCAGCTGACAGACTCTTTTGAGGTGAAGACCGGTGTCAGGCAAGGTTGCTTACTCTCACCCTTTCTCTTTCTCCTGGTCATCGACTGGATTATGAAGACGTCAACATCTGGAGGGAAGCACGGTATCAACTGGACAGTTAGGACGCAGCTGGACGATCTGGACTTCGCAGATGACCTGGCTCTTCTATCGCACACTCAACAACAAATGCAAGAGAAGACGACCAGTGTAGCAGCAGCCTCTGCAGCAGTAGGTCTCAACATACATAAAGGAAAAAGCAAAATTCTCCGATGCAACACAACATGCACCAACCGAATCACGCTTGATGGAGATACCTTGGAGGACGTTAACACCTTCACATATCTTGGCAGCATCATCGACGAGAAAGGTGGATCGGACGCAGATGTGAGGGCGCGGATTGGCAAAGCAAGGGCTGCATTTCTACAGTTGAAAAATATCTGGAACTCCAAACAACTTTCAAACAAAACCAAAATCAGGATATTCAATACAAATGTCAAGACAGTTCTACTGTATGGAGCGGAAACATGGAGAACTACCAAAGCCATCATCCAGAAGATACAAGTGTTTATTAACAGTTGTCTACGCAAAATACTTCGTATTCGTTGGCCAGACACGATCAGCAACAACGAACTGTGGGAGAGAACAAGTCAGATTCCAATGGAGGAGGAAATCAGGAAGAAGCGGTGGAAGTGGATAGGACATACACTACGAAAAGCACCAAACTGCGTCACGAGACAAGCCCTCACATGGAACCCTCAAGGCAAAAGGAAAAGAGGAAGGCCAAGGAACACACTACGCCGAGAAATAGAGAAAGATATGAGAGGAATGAACAAACATTGGACAGAACTGGAGAGGGAAGCCCAGGACAGAGATGGTTGGAGAAAACTGGTGGGCGGCCTATGCTCCAATGGGGTTGACAGGCGAAAGTAAGTAATGTAATAGTAGGATTTATCTTGAAATGTATTGTTCGAAGTATTTCAGTGTTTAGTTATTTTATTCAGTACGTTATACGCTTAATCTATTCAAATGTATGATAGTTCAAAAGAATTACAATTGTATGTCAAAAACACACATACATCAAAGCATCTGAATCCTGTTGCTTACGCCTGTTATTTCCAGTGGAGCATAGGCTGTCGATCAGTATTCCCTAACGTACTCTGTCCTGGACCTTCGTTTCTAGTTCTATCTAGTCGCTGTTCATTCTTCTCATGCATGTTGCGTATGCGACAGAAGAGCTAGATCATCTGC